GGGCGGGGCCGCCGGGCGGGGCGCCGGCCAATAACGTCGGCGAGCAGCAGCCTGCTCGCGAGCAAAGTTTTCACCCCGGGAAAGAAGAAAGTTAAAGGGAACCGGCCGGGGACGCGGAGAGAGCGAGAGCGTGAGCGAGTGGGAACCGGGGAGCCCGAGAAAGAGAAGCAGAGACAAAGAGAAAGCGAGAAGAGCGCCCGGGGAAACCCCGGAGAGGGGGCTGGGCCCGCACGCACCCCATAGAGGGAGGAGGGGCGGACCGGGGACTGTCAGCCTCGCGCCGGCCCCGCGCGGTCGGTAGAGCCCCGCAGGTTTCCGCCGGCCCCCACGCCTCGGGCAGCGCACAGGCTGGCGGGAGGGGGCGATTTTCTCCCTCCTGATCCCATCTAAACACATCTGTGTTTGTTTTCTTTGCTACGCGGAGGTCGGGCCTTCCTCTAACCCAGCCTGATGGGCCCGGTGGCACCGCGTACAGGCTGTGCCCTTGTGGGCAAACAGCCCGGGGTCATGAGAAAGAGGAGGAGGATGTAATTTCTGCTGCCTCACCCCTCCTGCCCGAAGCCCCTGGGGTCTGGAGAGAAGGCCCTGCTCTTCAATACTCTCCTCTCCCCCTCCCCCAGTTGTCAATTTGCGCTTGGGCCTATCTATCTGGAACGCGGCTTTTCACGCCGGGGGAGCTGTGGTGGGCTGGAGATGAAGGAGAAAGAAGCCGGACGGCCCTAGGCACAGGTCTGCGGAGCCTTAGGCTGGGGGATGCCTAGGCCTACCCAAATCCCTTGGGACAGGCTTATAGGTACCTCTTCCTGGCTCACGTTAAGGGGTCCTATACCCGATACTATCTCATGGGAGCCCCTTAACAGCTTAGCAAAATAGGTATTAACTCTTTTTTGCAGATAACACTGAGGTCTCAGGAGGTGAAGAAACTTGCCCAAGATCTCCCAGCTAGTAAACATCAAATCCAGGAAAAGAAACTTGGGCTCCTTCCTCTCCTCGTATTTGTCAGATGGGTATTCCCACCCAATTATAGTCTCATGGGCATCCTAGGGGCCACTCAGCTTCTCCTCTATGCCTCATTCTCTGCCACCTTAACAAAAAGACTGAGGACAGTGACAGCATCCTTTGACCTTCTAGCAGCCGGAGCCAAAGAGCTGTGGGGGAAAGAATGCGCCGGGCTGAGAGTTTGGAACTAAATTTCTGTTGGTTTGTTACTAGTAATAGATCTGGATTGAAAGCCCAGGGTCCTGGTTCTGGCTCAACGCTGACTTGCTGCATTAGCTCCATTAAGTGCCTCATTTTGTCTTATTGGCATTTTCATAAACTTGAGGCAATAAGAAGGAGCTTGAGGGCTTGTCTGGCCCAGCTCAGTCTCCTTGGAAGAACACCTTTCCTGGCCTGCCTGAGAGACAGCCACCCAAGTCTGCTCTTCCAGGCATGGCAGTTCACAGCCCAAGGAAATAAGTCCATTCCACTGGATCCATCTTCTCCCCTGGGGTAGCACTTTAGCTTTGCCTTCTTGTGCCGTCACCACTCACTACACTGGTTATTTATGCCTTACCTTGTGACAAAGAGGATTTCAGGTGACTTACGAGGGTACTTAAAACACGGGAAAATAACAAATTAGAAGTGAGGTGAAAGGAGATAAATGAAATGTTTAACTACTGTGGACTGTGAAATCCCACTGATATGAAAGGCACTATAGCAGTTAGGAGCCAGAGTGTGATGCTGCCAAGTTTTGCATCTTTCTGTGCATTGTTTTCCTTATTTGTAAAAGGGGAACAATAATATCTACCTCATAGGGTTGTGAGCATCAAATGAGTTAACATATCAATATTATAGCTTATAATATGTATATATTATAATCTACATGAGTATACTTTCACATCTATGTATATTTAAATATACATAAAGCTAGGCACATAGTAAGCGGATGTAGAAATGTTAGTTCTTAGTATTAAATTGCTAGGTCTTTATCAAAATTTAAATTTAATTAATAAAATAATAGAATGAAAAAAAGTTAATTACGAAACACTATGCCCCAAAGAACACTATGCACAGATGCTTTTATTTGTTTAAAAAAGTATTTCACAAAGACAACATTGTTAATTGTGGTTATCTCTGGATAGTGAGATTAGAAATGATTTTTATTTATTTTTGCTTGTATGGTTCTCCATTTTTTATAGTAAAATAAGAAGGAAAACTAAGAGAAGGAAGAAAAAACAAGAGGGAAGACTAAGTAGAGATGGGAATAAAGCTAAAATGCACCCTGGAACGCCCTATTCACCTCCTGTGGGTGGGCCACAAATTTGTCCCTACACTTTCCCCGAAGCCAAAATGAAAAGGAGACCATGTCAGTTACACAATTCCCAGTGTCCATGAGATAAAAACAGACCTATTACTCAAGAGAATTACAACTATTCTTGGGACTAAAATCAGACAGGAATTTCTCCTGGGGGGCCTCATAAAGGGAACACAGTGTGAAGTAATAAGCAATCACCCTCTAGAACATCCCCCTAATAGTCATAGCAGTGAGCTCTGTGGGGCCCACATCATAAGCTGATGGCATCGCACCAAAACACAGGAAAAGACATTCTGAAAAGGAGGCTGAAAGAGGCAAATCAGGGTGCCCAGCTCACCACCCAGTCCACTCGGTTCTATTTTGGGGTATATGCAGGACTGGATCACCCAGTGCTTTCCAGGTCTTCCTCCTGCTGTTGTTTCTGTCCACAGAGCTTTGATGGATCTTGCATGGCAGCAAGTTTGAAATCGCACTCCCTGGAGTGCAGCTATTCTACGCCGCCAGCTGAGCTTAGGCCAGTGGTCTTCAGGAGGGGAGTCGGGGGGAAGGGCTTTCCACATTTATTGTGGTCACTTAGGCCTAAGTTTATCTTCTTTAGCAGTTCCTGGTGGCAGCAGGATTATCTTACCATGTATCTTGGAGGTTTGGAAAATTCTGGGATACAGTATAACCTGTCTACCTCCTTTCAAACTCACCTCCCTGTTCTTGTACACTTGGTCCAATTTCAACCTCACACAGTAGCCCAGACCAAGGTTCTGCCTCTTGAAATCAGCCCTCTATCATCCCTCAGTTTTATCTCTTCTAGGCAAAATGTTTCCAGTTTTTTAAAAGATTTCTCATAAGACATTGTTTTCTTAGTACTCCGCAGACTCTCCCAATGCCCTCTAATTTGTCAGTGTCCCTTCCTAAAGCATACTACCTTTTGAGGGGACAAATGAAAAAAACAGATGTCCAAGTGTTGTGAGAGCTTCTCAAAGTGGGGGTTATAAATACATACCCACAAAGGCCATGTCAGGCTCTAAGCAGCGGGATCCATGGTACAAACTGGAGTTCAAAACACAACATTGTGACTCTTGGGTGAGAAAGCAAATTCCCAGGTGTTTCTGCAAGAAATGTGTCAAGAGGGGGAGCTGCCATTCTTGGCACCCAGCTTTACCTAAAGCCCAGTGATCACCCCACGAATTGGTTGTGGCAGTTTCAAGAAAACTTAGCAGTAGCCAGAACAGGAGGAAAATAGGAGACTCATGTGTCCTAGAAACCAATACAAGTTTCAGGGAAGGAGAGGCAGTGAGCAGTGTCACATGCCTTCAAGGTCAAGATAAGATCTGAAAGGAGTTCTTTGGATTAAACTACAAGGAAGGCATTGGTGACCTTGACTAGCAGTGATAGAGGAGTGGTGGGGACAGAAGCCAGACCGCCTTAGGTTGTGGAGTGGATGGGAGGTGAGAAAATGGAGATAGTGAGTGTAGACAACTTTCAAGAAGTGTGAAAACAAGTGGTAGGAAAGAGATAGGGTGATAGCAGGAAGGTGACATGGGATTGAGTGAAGATTGGGATTTATTATTGTTGCTTATAAGATAAGGCTATTTAAACATGCCTGAATGTTGATAGGAAGGAACAAGGAGGAAAAAGGTTGAAGCAGATAAAATAAGCCTTGTAGAACTGGTGGTCAGGTGGCCTGAAAGCTTCTCTTGTTTCAATGGAACAAGAAGTGAACGCCACCTGCTGAGAGCGAGCGAACAGGTGGGAGCATTGGTGGTTTGAAGACAGGGGAGAAGGCTCGATTGGGTCATTACAGAAAAGAGGATGTTTGCTGGGCAGATAAAGGTCCTATTGAAGTTGGTGACCATCTATGAGAAAGAATGCATGCCAGCAAAGTCACGGGACTCCCCTCCCCCCAGCAATGCTCAATAGCCCCCTGTAGAGACCTAGAAAAAGCAGAACAGTTGGATTAATCTAGAGTTTAGGGTTCGTTCCAGGAGGTGAGACAGAAGAGCAGGGAAGAGCG